ACATATGAAAAAGCATCTGTGGTTTAAAACTTGTGGTGGTTTACTAGAACTTTTCCAACTAATTTTGCTCTGAAGAAGTTTATSTAGCAACTTGAACGCTATGGAAATAAATAAAACCAAAGAATTACCGTTACGAAACCAAGTAAGTCGACGACATATAATACACAGAAGTTCATAAGATGTCAAATGCGATTTCGTTTTCACCCGAACTTAGTCCTTTTTTTACAATTGTTGTGTTATCAATCGATATATTAAGTCAGACGGAAATTAACAGTAACTATTTTAAAGAATTTTATATTGCAAACACTTCCAAAGGAAAAAGTCTGTGAAATTACTTAATCAAAACTATTTATGAGCAATTCTCTTGTGGTTTAACCAACGTCGGAGAACACAACGAAAATACAAAATTGAAGATATTCCAAGCACAAATGAAAACGGATCGTAAATGTGCGTCAAGTTGGAAATACTTTTAAGATACTAATACTCTTGGCTTCAGTACAAAAAATCCTATTTAGCAACCTTTTAGTATCGTTTCAGCAAAACAAAATTCATAAAACATTTTAAAACGGGTAAATAGACCCAAAACGCATTGTACTTATTTTAGCTAAAGTATATACTTGAAACGCTCTTCGGTAGCTTTTCATTTGAAGGAAATTAATAGACGGTTCATTCTCCACTTTTTAATTATACTCCATTTACGCAAAGTYCAACTAAAAATGAAGGTTAATCACAAATCTCTATCTCAATGCGTTTTGCTCTACCATTRACATATAATTTAATTAGTCGACCTTGACGAAATTGAAGTTATCTAAATGCACACCTAAGATCTGCCAATTAAGAGATTTATGTGAGATAGCCATTTTRAAATTGTAAATCTACTGTTTTTTGTAAACTGTTAAAATATCCCAATCAGCAAGCGTGCTCTGGTAGTAAACATAAGACAATTGAACATCAGAAAACAAATATTATTCCATTAACACACATTTACATATACATCTTTACGGTTAATGAGAATATGCTTGAAGTGTAACGTACTAGTGAACGCTTGAATCGCACACTCTTGGTGGAATTGTACGGTGGAATTGAACAGGCCGCCAACACGCCAACGTAAACAATGCAGTCGCAATAGACTTTCAAATGCAATCATATGGCACTGAGCTAAACAAGTGTTTGCCATATCAAACGATAAAATAATTTTGTAAAAGTTGGGAAGAGTGGAGGTGAGTTGGTGGGATGTAGTCGGTATAACAAAACAATTTTGCATCGCTTTTAAAGCTTAGTCGGACACCTAAACAATCGTAACAAAGCAAGCTGGCACTCATGAAGTATTCGTTGAAGTTGCTTACCAACGGAAATTGGTTAGACAAGCTCCACATATCGGAGGGTACCCGACGTACGCCAAAACAGTAATTCTATATATATCACAGMAGTTTCACATCAGCGGATATGATGGGATGGATGAAGAAGTGTTTCAGCTTAGCTTACGGTTAAACTGAATGTTCCTTTATTATCTAGGAGATGYAAATAAAAAGTTGTGTGAGTATTTTTTGTAATGATACCCATGTAAGCCTTGCAAAACATAGTATGTCCACAWATTACCTTCAAAAATCATGCGATTTTCAGGAGCTTCTTTTGAACTCAAAAGCATTTCTAGACATACATATRTACATACTTGTATAAACAGATTTTATTTGGCATTGTTCATTGCAATAGCTCTGAAATTAACGGGTGAACCAAGAAAATGTATTTTTTTTTTTTCAATAGCAGTGTGTTCACAGATCACGCGTRAGCCGTGTTATATTATTTTTGTTCAGTAGTGTCTGACATTTTATCRTGAAAAGACTTACCTCTGATCAATGTTTACAAATTGYTCAACTYTATTACRAAAATWTACGTTCTGTAAATAATGTGTTTCGGGTGCTTTGCTCAATTTATGCTTAACATAATCGGAGTACCTAGCGTACTAYTYGCCACACCATCATCCATCTTGAGACCYAGCTTTCATTATTGGATAATATTTGACCGAATAGACCATGTCYAATCTTGACAGGAGGCTTACAATGGCCATAGCTGCTTTAAGCAACTTTCCCTTCRKTGTCGTAASTCTTGAACACCAGATAGTTCAAAATCATTTTAWTAGTGGTTYAGACTAAGGGGRTGGACCTACTTCTCAGATGTTTTACCTTTGCTTTAAAAAAGCAAGTGGAAACTCTATTTGAATATTTAGGGAGCTTTATTAAAGCAAGCGCAAATAAGGCGGTAACCRCAAAGATTTAGCARCATCTTGTAAAAGTACACATGTAGAATCAAAGAAACAAATGTTAAKTAATCAGTTMAGAAATGTAGAAATTAATGCTAGGAAAATATAAAAATTACTAATTTGATACCTGTAAAACTTTTTAGCCACAAAATAAGTCTAGTAGATATCTACATATTGCAAATATGTACAAATACATTATTCATGACACATACTAAACTTTGCAATCTTTTCATTTTATGCTTTCAGCGGAAAACTTTAACACAACTAGCGCCCATAGAGCACAAAGGATTTTACAGAATTTCATAAGCCGCGTCCAAATTTTAAAAGTGTGAGTGCGATTGTGTTACGATAAAAGGTGATGCAGACAAAAATAACTAATAACTAGATATAAATTCGCCAGAAACCAGAAAGGTACAAGGCCAGAACGACTACTATAAAGCAAAGCAAACTGCGCTTGTGTAAATCATGTCCAACGAAAAGGCGACAAAAATCTAGAGGGAAAATTCATCATAATACACACGCCCACTTAAAATGCACGTATGCTTACATATGCGGCAATTTCTACGGCATTGAAATGATCGACTCACACAGGCTTTAGAGGTGGTAGAGGCGAGTTGCATGTCATCATCACTAGTGAAACTAGTTTTGCTGCTTTCGGCGGCTTGGTGGCCGACCTACAAGATAATTATTCACAACTTATCGGTACGACATCGGCCATTGATTGGTGCAATCAATCACTGCTACTGTATGGCATAAATAACTGTAGTATGTATATTTACAGTGAAATTAACGATACAATGGTGTAAGTACAAATTATAACAAAATCAAATTATAATTATTTCAGTCTGGAAAACTATTGACGAAATTATAATTAACAAACTTTGAATTATTCATGATCAGATTTTAACCAAAAATTTCATTACTCTACGCCTTATGTTAATATATTTGAAGTTTTTATCACACAGAGTATGAAATATTATATAAGCACCGTAAAGGGCTTCCAATTACAAAAAAATATATATTATTGTACGTAAAATGAAAATATTCCACGTAGACAGAAAATGAATGACTAACATTGCGATGTTATTAATTTTGAAAATACTTCATGATTAACCTTAAACCACC